GCGCACAACCCCCGATGGCCCCTCGTCCCGAAGCGCGGCCCGTGCTGGAGAAGGAACCGCTGAAGATTCAACTGATGCCGCCCTCGGTATTAAGCGCGACACAGGCGCCGCAGTAAGTCGAGCGACTGCACCCGGCCGACGGAAGGCCAACTGAGGGGCCCTGACGCGGCGTGCCCTCCCTGATCACAGAAAAACAAAGTTGAGGAATAGTGTCGAAACAAAGCGGAACAGAAGAAGAAGTCAATTTTTCTTACCTGCCACAGGTCTACGGCCATGCCTCTCCCAGAAAGACGCCCATGTGCGTATCCCCACCGTATGGGGGAGCACGGCCTCGACCCATCCGCGAATCCCAGCTAACGGAGCCGGCGGCGATTTTTCGGCTACAAAATTGACACGAGTTAACGCTTACGAGCACAAGACGTAAGGAGGGGTAGAAAAAAGAATTCGACGACAAAAGAACTTACGTGCATGATTCCAAGCCTCTGGGAACCCAGCAGAGCACGCCACTAAATGTTCAGTCCTGATGTAGAAGAAGTGCTCAAAAGGGCGAGGATCGACCTCGTCATCCAGTTTTGCAGTCAGGCCCCTCGACCCACGAGGGCACGCTTGAATCATGGTACCGCGAACCCTCTAGGGAGCGTAGAGACTAAGCACATGCTGCAGCGTGACCTCCCTACCGGCCAGTTCTGCATATTTGATAAACATAGCTAGCAATTTGTAAAGAGAAGGAGCAAGCTGACCCGGGCACACCCCGTAATAACGACAGAAATCAACCACCAACATTGGGAGCGGGAGCTTAAACCCCAACTTGAAGGGGTAGGCGTAAAAGACGCAGTATCCCCTACGGTCGGTGTGGACCCTCTCCTCGCTTCTAGCGAGAATGACGTCAGCATAGCCGGGGATGACCCCCTATCCTCGTAGTCGGGACATCCCAATCTCCCCCATTAATGGGGCTTCATCCACCTGATCCTCCCCACCATCGGCGGTGAAATCAGTCATCGGACCTCCGGGCAGAGGTACTATCTCGTCAACCGACGGAGCTTCACCGGTCTCCACCAGTTCTGCATCGCCCATTGCCGGAAATGGCCCCTCAGTCACCGGTGAGTTAACCGGAAGATCCGTCGGAAGAACGTTTTGGGAAGAAATGCCTGCCATTGTTGATACAATAACGAGAAAGAAACAAGGTTTGAGGGACGAAGACGAAGGTGAAACAGCAGTAAGAAAAGCTTCTTCAGAATCTCTCTCAAACAAGCAATAAGAATATGAAAAATGAATGCCTCAGCCTTTATTTATAGGCAACGCAAGTGGCCTTCATGCACCCCAACAGCCACCATTAACTACATGACCAACCGCACACCGGTTCGATTCCATAGGAATGTGCGTCATTATGACAGGCTCCATAAAGCAGCCTTGCAATCACCAATCGGCGTCTCGCCCTCGAAATGGTCATAACGACCTATGAATGCCGAAGAGATGCTCTTTGCGCCCTAGAAATTTTTTGACATCGCCAAACATGTATCAAGCGTGCCCTCACTCCCCTCGGCCGCACAACATACGGCCCATCCACCATGGTCGACGGGTATGCACCCAAAACAAACGTAAGGATCAGAGCACAATGAAGCTCGACCTCACTCGAAGTAAGTTAAAAGGTCAAGAGCCTTCGCCAAGGAGGAGAGTTCGACCTCGATCGAACGATGACTTGATAGCACAATAACAGAATACTAATATTCTACAAGGCTAAGGGCCATCGCCAAAGAGAATTCGGCCTCGACCGAAGCAACAGTCGACCTCCCCATCCGAGTTTCTCAAACTACAGTCGATGGAATCCACTCATCGAGCTCGCCAAGGCCCGACCTCAATAAGCGGAGGGACTAACTGTATGGGTCAGAATCCGATCCCACGATAATTAACGAAGCTAATCCCGTCTTAAGCTAATTCATGATTAATTAGTGGCACGACCACTCAGAATTAACGATATTCAACCCGCATCTGATTCGATCAGCAAGGCCATGGCCCATCCGGCACCATGAAGGCGAAATCCCAACGTGGTCACGGCCACTTATTGCCAGCTCACGAAGCTCACAGCTATAAATACCAAGAGAGGAAACCCTAGAAATGGGGGCTTCTTCTTCACCACTATTGAGAGAGAAAAAAGAGACAACGATACCCAAATTATGGGCAAGAGGAACACCATTGCAAGGCTCTGAACCTCTTCATGGAGAGGCAGACCAAACCAATATTATCAATAAAGGCTTCTAATGTTTCTCCCCCTAATCCTGAGTACTTATTTTCGTTTCCTTCATTTGGTCCAACGGATTATTACGGTTTGCTATGATTTTTCCGTGATTTATTTATATTGTTTTATACTCATAAGGTATGTAATAACTTTTGAGTCCAACAATATATAATTAGATATTTATTTGCATTATAAACGTATAAAGGTTAACTCATTACTGGTAATATTCTTAGGTGGGGAATATCCAAGTAGAGAAATTTAGACACTTGTTAAGGAGACAAATTTAAAGAAGTTCACTGAAGAAGGGTAATGTTTCGAATCATGCGCTACTAGTCCTAGGGAATTATTTGGTAATAGAAAAAAGGTCATACAATGCAAATAGTCCAAACGGGTTGGACAATAACAATGGATAGGGATGGCAATGGGGCGTGTGAGTGCGGGGCAGTGCGGGTGCAGATGAATGTGGGGTGGGTACTGGGAGGGGCGGGGTGGTTGCGGGTTAAAAATCATGTGAGGCGGGTTCTGCAATTTCAAGCAAATTTGCCATTGAGTATATAGACTGTTGAAGCATTTCTTCTCATACTTTTCTTTAAAATGAGATTTTGGATGTTTAATAGTTGAAGGCCGTGGTGATAATATTAACTGGAAAAATCTGAATTTTCTTTTCCACTTTTCCTTTTTTCATTCATGTTTTTTTTCCCCTTTTTCGTTTTGAAGTAAATCTGTTGCTGTTAACTAAAAGAGCAATATGAGAAAACGAAGTCAATTCAGTAGCCAAATCTGGAAGTATGAAATTTTATTAAGATTAAATAATAATATATAAATAGCATAGCTAAGATATCAGATCAGCGAGCAAAAAATAGATGAGAAGATTTGGTAATTGACTTAAATTTGCAAACTTCTGTAAATTAAAGTTGCACTGAACAAATTTTTTTTGACTAAAAGAGAGCTTATAGAAGAAAATGAAAGATTTTTGTTAGGTGGGCCGGGTTAGGGCGGGTTCGTGCGGGACGGGTTGAAAATAAAAAAAAAAAATACAATGCGGGGCGGGGCGGGGCGGTTAAATTTAAACCCGCCCTGCAACCGCCCCGCCCCGCCCCACTGCCATCTCTAACAATGGGCCTATTAAGCCGATGCCTTTTACCTAGTTATACTATATTAGAAACTTATTTACCAATATTCTCTATGTTTTGTAGTTTTTAATAAGTATCTAGGTTTTTCTTACAAATTGTGTAGGTTGCTTCTTAAAAGGCTCCCACCCCATTATTAGTGCCTTCAATTAAGGGATTCAATTATATTCTTTCCTTTTTTTCCCCTCTCCTCTTCTCTCTCCTTTTTTTTTACAACAAAATTCCTTAATCTATGCCCAAAATCTCCATCTTCTCTCTTCCCACCATTGCCGATAATTTTAAATTATTAAATCATCAATTGCATCGTTCTTTTGCTGGGAGACATGACAACACTAAAAATGAAGAAATGTTCATGAATTGTATGATAAATGTATCATAATTGTATTTAAATTGTATCAGATATATCAATACGTAAAACGTAATTGTATCATACTTGTATCACAATTGTATATAACTTGTAGATGGTACATTAATATCCAAAATAATACCTGATACAATACTAATAAATTAATATATAATTATCATATATTTGTGATACAAACTGTGAAATTCGTCACGATCTCACAACTGCTCATAATTCAAATACAAATTTGATACAATCCTGAAAGAATTCTTACACAATTCTGATACAATTATGATACAACTTAAAACCGACTCTAAACTTAAGCTGATACAATATCGTATTATACTTGTATTAGTATTGTATCATGTATTATTTTAGGTACAAATTGTGGTACAATTGTGACACAATTCTAAATTATGATACAACTTTGGTCTTCATCTTTTTCACGTTTTAATTTAAAACATCCACCTAGAACCAACTCTAAACTTAAATTATAATACAATATTGTATTTTAATAGTATTAGTATTGTATTAGAATTGTCTTAGGTATTGATGTATCAAATACAACTCAGATACAATTATGATACCTTTGTCATACAATCGTAATACAATTCCGAAACTCCATCTTCCTCGACTTTCATTATGAAATTCAACCTAAAATTAAACCAACTTTAATGTAGAGTGAAGCTTACCCACAACTTCATTGTAGAGCAAAATCTTCGAATTTCTTCTGTATTGTATAAATAAGAAAGAGATTTTGGACGATTAAAGAGAGAAATCATATATCAACAGCTTTGGAAGAAGAAAGAATCTGCAATTTTGGGGGGATAACAGTGAAGAGGAGTGAGTAAGCGAGATTTTTGGGTTAGAAAGATTATGGGTATCAATGGATTTCTTACTGAGGGTAAGTACAAAGAGAGGTGATGATTTTGGGGTTCAGTGGATTTCTTACGGTGATGATTTTAGGTAAGTACAAAGAGAGTTGATGATTTTGGGTAAGTACAAAGACAAATATAGTTTTCCTTGGAAAAATGAAGAGTATCTTAAATGTAGGGGATTATGTGTAACTGATACCCAATTTTTAAGGTATATTTCATTTCCTCCTTTTTATGATTTTGTATAAAACTAGTAAATATTGGTATATAAAGTATTAATAAAGAACCTAAATAAAAATAGTAAATAGGTTTCTATTATAGTATAGCCAGGTAAAAATCTTGTTATTGGGCCGGAGCTTGTTATTGGGCCAGGTAAAAATCCCTATCGAAAAGCTTGTTATTGGGCCGGAGCCTGAAACATTGATCTGTTGGACCATTATATTACCAATTTGCACGAGCATCTTCTTCGCTCCCTTCTCTCTCACATCGCTTAACAGATCAGTGCCATTTTCAGCTTTGGTGAGTTCTCTGAGCTCCCTCTCTCTATCATTGTTTAGATAAATGCACATGAATAATTTCTATTCAATTCTATTTTTTCTCTCTTTTTATTAGAGAAATGCAGAAATGTAATCGGATTCTAGGGTTTATAGAAGTGGTAGACTTTTATTGGTTTAATGGAATATGAGCTTCATTTTGTTATGTGATTTTGTATAGGTCCGTGTAATTGATCGCAGTTTTCCAGTTCATTTGAATTTGCGATTGTTTTCCTTTTACTTTCGGCCTTGTTTGAGGAGCTGAATTTTTATGGGTATAGAATCTAGCATTTGGGTGATACTAACTTGTTAAGATTAAGGTTTAGTGCTGCTATATTAGATCCGTTGTTTCCTCCTAGACAACGGGTTAGAGCCTGGGAATGAAAATTCTTGTTTAGGAGCGCTTTCTCCTCAAATGGGCCCAACGCAATGCTAATCTGGATTAGTCGGACCAGTGGGATCCATATATCGGACGATTATACCAAAAAAAGTCCGTTGTTTGCCAATAGCCCTTTTATTCTGGTCAGGAACTTGTATATCAGTGTAGGCATAACTTATAACTGTGAGGTTTATAGAACCTTTAGCTTTAGAGTACACCCCTAATTTTCCTTGAAAGACATTATTTAGTATTGGAATAAAATGAACCCAAATAAAGTGTAATGAGTACAAAGGATGGTCCCCAGGGCTTAGTTTAAGTGGAAAATGTTGAGGGACTTGTGACCTAGGTCACAGGTTCGAGCCCTGCGCCATGCGAATGGAAGCCTGGTATTTAAGTGGAGAAGGGTAGAGGGGTAGGTTCATTATCCTGAGTTTCAAAGGCTGCGGTGGTCCTATCTCAATTAGTTCGGGATTGATATAGCATCTAACCGTGTGCTCCATTTGGAAGGGCCTAGAGTCTTGCCTATTTTTCTATGTGGTGATTTAGATAACATACAACCCTTATTTGTCTTTAAAGTTTCCTATGTAACACACAGCCTATCCTTTAGTTGAGACGACGTATTTTAGAAGAAATAATGTCTTAACTTCATTTTCGCTGTTTAGATAAATATTTTTAAAATGGAATCTGAACTAGCTAGGTGCTTCAACAGATTAGTCTCTGTTGTATCTGAAACGTGTTACAATTTGAGGATAAAAGAAGCATTGCCTTTGCTTGAGCATGTACTTATAAGTGGTTTTCATTTTCTTTTGTTTATCTCTAACCTTCATACGTTTCTACATCACGCTTGGTTAGTGGCATATTTCTTAACTTGGTGACCAATTGATAGCTTGTCTTAGGAAAATCAAATCTGCAGTTGAGTTTCAAGCACAAGATGTAAAAATATGAGGGAGGGTCAATCGTTCTAGCGTTACTTAGACCTTTGATGCTTTTCTGAATGTGATGTTCACATTGCTTTTGACAAATTTCTAATGCTTCTTTCATCACATTTTTGTTGAACCTACTTGAGTTGCTTAGAGATTATTAACTTTGAATTGTGTGTTGCATTGGAGTTTTCTTGAGATATGATAAATAGTTGAAATGAATGCAAGCAGGTTGGTTATGACAAATATGTTTGATCAGTTATTTAAATAAAACGATGTAACTGCCCCAACTATTATTAAGTAGTACTATCTTGTATCTATTCGAATTGTTCAGAGGGAGAGCTTTGTAACTCAAGTAACAGGTTAGAAAATTGAGGTAGAATAAAATGGGCGGAGGGAGTGTTATAGACCTACGTGAGCAGACTCAATCTTATGAATTTCTGTGTGATGGCTTATCAGCTCCTAATCACTCTATTAAGGCTAGATGTCTCTTGTATCTATTTAGGGCTTAACATGTCCCCTGTTGACTCTCCCGACAGTTTTTTGCACTTTATTAGCTCCCTGGTCCTAGATTAGCCAATCATATGTTGGAGCTAATTAATGTTTTTTGTAACCTATTTTGTACTTTCTTGCATCTTCTTGATGCCACTCAATGAAGTTTTTTACTTCATTTAAAAAAGAAAAGTAATTTCCATATATGGGTATGCATATAGGGTCTTGATAGAACTAAATATATGCGAGCTTTTAGATTTCTCATCATTTGCTTCTTGTGGACTAAGATGTTTTGTTGCTTCACACATTTTGTTCGTGATGCATTATTTCTCACCTTTTCTTACCTTTGGTATCTGGTTATTAGTTCAAGCCTAACTTGTTTTAATTATGTTTTAAATCTTTTAACATTTCTGGTGTTTTGGTAAAGGATCGAGTAAAATCATGGATGATGCTGCAGAGCTAAGGTATTATGAAGATGAGGATACACCAGGGATGAAAACATTTAAAGGTGCAACAACAGGTCTAGTTGCTGGTACTCTTTGGGGTACCATTATTGCCACTTGGCATGATGTACCCCGTGTTGAGAGAAGTGTTGCTCTTCCTGGTTTGATTCGGACATTGAAAATGATGGGAAACCACGGGGCTACCTTTGCTGCTATTGGTGGAGTCTATATAGGGGTAGAACAGCTGGTGCAGAACTATAGGATGAAAAGGGATTTTGTTAATGGAGCAGTTGGTGGATTCGTTGCTGGTGCTTCTGTGCTGGGTTACAAAGGTAATCACCTCCCCCTCCACCCAAGAACACCATTTGAACTGAGATGAGTGTTTGTGGAGTGATTTCTTAATAAAAGAAAAATGTTTGTGGAATGAATACAAGTCTGTTGTTGCACTCGCTTTAAATTTAATTATATGTAAGGGAAAAATTAGAATCGGCGAAGGAATAAGGAGAGGAAGCTATTATGACATGTTGCAGATTGGTTTGTTCTTAGTGCATATCCCGTGCTAGTGCCAATTTCCAGTGATGACCATTCAACTGGCATTGTGACTGGTGCAGCCAGAAAAATCTTATCAGTTCCACGCCCTGGCGTTCTTGGTTTGTAGTGAAGGCTGTTGCTTAATTCCTTTATCCTCTCTATTTAGATGCCTATTAAGATTTTTAATTCCAAGAACATAAAAAATTCTCCATAGATCTGATTGGCAGAGAATATGTAGGTGCTTGTCTGCATAAAGATGTCTTAAACATGACCACAACCATTTTTTCAATGGCATTTCATTTAGTTTCTAAAAGAAATCAGTCACAGAATAATTAAGTTGCTCTTGCTAACCGAGAGCACTACACACATTTGAGAACAGATCAATAGAAATCCCTATGCAGAATGAACTTTTCATGAACTCAAAGTTTAGAATTTAGTGAGTGCATAATCTCATGAGTTGCAAAAGGCAATTTGAGCAGACTACGTACATTATTCATCGACGGTTTCTACACCCTTGCCTCTGGAAACATACTGGGATACCAAGGGAATTTTTTTTGGCTGATTTGACTGCTACCTTTGTAGGAAGGAGTATTTCAACAGCTATCTCTGCTGGAGCAGCACTTGCAGTCACCTCTGGGGTAATTGATGGATTAGGTGCGACAACGAGAACTGACAATGGCAAGGAGTACTATCCTTACACTACGAAGAAAAGAGCTGCTGTTGAATGACTATAGTTGGACAGAATTAGCGCGACTCAGCGGAAGTTCACTATGAATGATGTGACCGCACCCTCTTGTTTTGTGCTATCCTACTTTTTTCCTTTAACCTAAAAGTATGATGCAAATAAGAATGCTATGTACTCTACTTCAATCATGGCAGGTGATTTTTCATTGAGTTTGAATACCTGACCAGATATTTTCATGGGTTATCTGTCATTCCAAATTATGACACTCTTTCGCTTCTCTATTTCTGATTATGAATTGTGATGATTTGCTATAAACAATTGTTGTTTGCAAAGGTGAAGTCTGACCTTTACTTTATAAAGCCAGCGTTGGTTTTGTGTTGCTGTATACTAGGCAAATAGTAGGTTGAACCAATGCTTGGATTTGCCTGCAAGTAAACCTTGTAGCTGAAGTAACCCTTTATGGCATCGATTGAATGCTTTTTTGGTAGCTGTAAACCATTGCTGGAGGAACTTTTGAGTTATGGCTTCAAGAAATCAATGTGGATTTTTTCCGTAGAAAGAGACATTTGACATCTTCGCGACGGGGCCAGGAAGAGCTTTTGGGCTTCACCTGTTAGCAGACATACCGCTAGTTCCAATGGAGGATCAAACCCGTTTGTAGGTTTGATAAAATTGAGTGTTTGGAAGTCAAACTTTAGGGGTGTGTGTGTGCAGAAAAACAAGTACTATAGATGAAGTTAATATACATTTGAAAATTTGCTTTGTCAAACGCAGAATCGTTTTAGTTCTGGATCTGTTGTTGCCCCTATCTTTTTGCTAACCTAACTACTTAGCTAGCGTTTGGCCATAGATCCCAATTTATTTTGAAAAATCTGATTTGGGTGAAGTTTGGTTTGAAGATGAAAATGTATTTGGACATACGTTTTCAAAACATATTTTCCAACTTTATTTTGGAAAAACATGTATATAATTCCCAAGTTTTGGGATTTTGGCCCAAATTCAGCTCAATAGCTGATTTTGGGATTTGAAATTTACGATTTGGGATTTGGCCAAAATATGGGCAAAATTTATGGCCAAACACGAGTTTTGAAAATAAATCTCAAATTTATTTTGGCAAAACTCATGGCCAAACGGGGCCTTAGACACTCATTGGAACATCATACCTTGATCTCCGAATTTCACTGACCATAATCATCATTCATTTAGTCCTTTATATTTGTGCATCGTCCAAGATACATTCAACGTAGGGACAAAGGTTGAAACTTTAGTACTTTACTTTCTTTTTCTTTTTCTTCCTGGTAATGTCACAAACTCATCAGCTCCATGGTTCCTCTTTGTCTTATTATTTAGGCCAAATACACATACAATCCATCTAACTTGGCACCATTTTTTATTTTGGCGATCTATCTTTATCTTGTTCCATTTTGACCTTCGAACTCTACTTTATATGTTTCATTTTGGCCCTCCAACTCTATTTCTTATGTTCCACTTTAACAAAAAAGCTGAAACCAGTGCAAAAAATATAGCGCGTGTGTATACACAAATTTGAGGTGTAATAAATATCCAATTAAATGTTGCCACCTGGTTTTTTCAACCATGTCAAACGGGTCAATACTAAAATACCTGAACCCGATTATATTTTTTGTGGGTTTATTTCATCTAAACGGGCCAGGTATAAAATCGGCAGATGAAAGCTTTGGAACTTAGAGAATGAAGATGGGGCAACAGTGGATGAAAAAATAAGGTCGTGTTCAGGTATTTTAGTATTGACTCGTTTGACGTGGATGAAAAAACCAGGTGGCAACATTTAATTGGATATTTATTATACATCAGATTTGTGTATACACACGCGCTATATTTTTTGCACTGGTTTCCACTTTTGTGTTAAAGTGGAACATAAAAAATAGAGTTAGAGGGCCAAAATAGAACATATAAAATAGAGTTTGAGGGCCAAAATGAAACAAGTTAGAAATAGAGTGCCAAAATGAAAAATGTGCCAAGTTGAATGGACGTATATGTATTTGACCTATTATTTATTTATTTATTATCCTTTCAAAATCATCACTTAGAGAATAGGCAGTTCCGCAACATTGAGGGAAAAATGTCTTATGTTTGTTAATGTGTTCTCCAAACTCCCAAGGATTAACTTTTCCCTCAAAATATATGTCCAATTTAGACATGATTGGGCAGAAACTCTCAAATTCAGTAGAAAATCATAACTAGTCTTGCAAAATTGAAAATTTACGTTAGTACATTTTTAGTAGCATAATGTTTTTCTTTTAAAAAATATAAGGATGAAAGGATATTTTATGTTTACTAATTTTACAAATTATTCAAATGAGTGAAAAACAGAAGACAACACAACAATTAGCTTGGATTAAGTGGGGGGTACTTATACAAATTTTGTGATACAAATTAAATATATAAAAATGTAGCTATTTAATTAGAATCTATACATCTCCTATAGATTAGCTTGGCACGTGTGAAGTCCCGACATACTCCTCGCACGCGCGACCCGGTTCCTCTGGTCAAGCAACACAAGACAAATAGTACCTTAATAAAGTGAACATAACGCAAAAGTAAAAAAAGCAAAAAGCCACAAACAGAAACACAAATATTCACTTACACACACACACACACAGAGAAAATCTGCATCGACGGTGCTTTCGGTGTAATCTCAGCAGATTCAACCCCCCCCCCCACCACTACGCCCCCCCCCCTTTAGAATCAAACAAAGAAAACAGAGCATTACCACCCTACTTTGTTTTTTTTTTCTCTCTCAAAATATACATTGTTTTGTTCTTTCTTTCTTGTGTTGTTTCTTCACTTTTTATAGCTAGACCTCACTGTACTATTCTACTTCCCTTTGTTACAAGAAAAGCTCTATAAACCCTTTTTCTTTTTGCCCCCCGTAAGGCTCCAGTACTCTTCACAAACTTAATCAGTAAAAACCCTCAAGGTATGTTCATTTCTGTGTTTTTCTGTTTCTTATAGATGTGCATTTTGTTAAAAAATTGTTGTTTTTTTGTTGCTACATTTTGGGTTTTGCTGAATCTTGGATGGTGTTTTCTTGAAACTTGATGTTTGTATATCTGTAATGTGGTTAGATTTTCTTGCATTCTGCGTTTTTTTTGTTTTTTAATATTTGCCTTTTGCTTTTGTTTGCTTTTCCTTTTTTGTGGTTGAGAGAGGAGAGGAGTGTTTCTTTTTTTTTGTAGAGTTTGTTCTAGCATTATTAAAGATTGACTTTTTTTGTTGCTCCAGCATTTTTAGCTTAGTTTTGTATGGTAAAAGAACTGACTTTTTCTTATTTTTTATGTTGTGAAGGCTTGAAGCATTCAGATCTGACGCTTTGAATCGTTTTGGCATTCTAGAGGTTCCTTTTTATCTTTTTGGCTACATTTGCTTAACACTCTGTTTTGATTGAATGTGTTGGAGCATTAAAGTAATTCTGAGTAATTTTCACATTCTGGTGGTGGATATAGGGGACCTGTTTTAGTGTTAATTGTGGGAACAAGTTATATAAAAAAATGCAGAGACCCCCACAAGAAGATTTCTCACTCAAGGAGACCAAACCCCACCTTGGTGGAGGGAAGGTCAGTGGTGATAAGCTCACTAGCACATATGATCTTGTTGAGCAAATGCAATATCTTTATGTCCGAGTAGTGAAAGCTAGGGATTTACCTGGGAAGGATGTTACGGGTAGTCTTGATCCTTATGTTGAGGTTAAGCTGGGGAACTATAAGGGTACGACTCGTCATTTTGAGAAGAAGTCGAATCCTGAGTGGAGTCAGGTGTTTGCTTTCTCAAAGGATAGGATTCAGGCTTCTGTACTTGAAGTGACTGTGAAAGATAAGGATGTTGTTAAGGATGACTTTGTGGGTCGTGTTCTGTTTGATTTGAACGATATACCTAAAAGGGTTCCCCCGGATAGTCCTCTCGCTCCGCAGTGGTATAGGTTGGAGGAGAGGAATGGTAGTAAAGTCAAAGGAGAGTTGATGTTGGCTGTTTGGATGGGAAATCAAGCTGATGAAGCCTTTCCTGAAGCTTGGCATTCAGATGCTGCTGCTGTTAGTGGCGCTGATGGTCTTGCAAATATAAGGTCTAAGGTGTACCTCTCACCAAAATTGTGGTACCTTAGAGTTAATGTGATTGAGGCTCAAGACTTGATTCCGAGTGACAAAAGCAGGTTTCCAGAAGTTTTTGTCAAGGCCATCCTTGGGAATCAAGCGTTGAGGACCAGAGTTTCCATGAGCAAGACCATTAATCCCATGTGGAACGAGGATCTGATGTTTGTAGCAGCTGAACCGTTTGAGGAGCCATTGATTTTGAGTGTGGAAGATAGGGTTGCACCAAACAAAGATGAGGTCATCGGAAGATGTGCTATTCCTTTGCAGTATGTGGATAGGAGGTTGGACCATAAACCTGTGAACACTAGGTGGTTTAATCTTGAGAAGCATATTATTGTCGAGGGAGAAAAGAAGGAAATCAAGTTTGCTAGCCGGATTCACTTGAGAGTATGTTTGGAAGGAGGCTACCATGTTCTGGATGAGTCCACCCATTACAGTAGTGATCTTAGGCCAACTGCAAAACAGCTGTGGAAATCTAGCATCGGTGTCCTTGAAGTAGGTGTTCTGAGCGCTCAGGGCCTATCACCAATGAAAACAAAGGATGGACGAGCAACGACAGATGCCTATTGTGTGGCCAAATATGGGCAGAAGTGGGTGCGGACAAGGACAATTATCGATAGCTTTGCTCCCAAGTGGAACGAGCAATACACCTGGGAAGTGTTTGATCCTTGCACTGTTATAACTATTGGTGTATTTGATAATTGTCATCTGCAAGGAGGAGATAAATCAGGAGGGGCAAGGGACTCAAGGATTGGAAAGGTCAGGATCCGTCTTTCGACTCTTGAAACTGATCGTGTCTACACACATTCATATCCACTGCTGGTCTTGCATCCTACTGGGGTGAAGAAGATGGGTGAAATACACTTGGCTGTGAGATTCACTTGCTCATCGTTGGTGAATATGATGCATATGTACTCTCAGCCGTTGTTACCCAAAATGCACTATCTGCATCCATTAACTGTTAGTCAGCTGGACAACTTGAGGCACCAAGCCACTCAGATTGTCTCGTTGAGGCTGAGTCGCGCTGAGCCACCTTTGAGGAAAGAGATAGTAGAGTATATGTTGGATGTTGGTTCTCATATGTGGAGCATGAGGAGAAGCAAGGCTAACTTTTTCAGGATTATGGGTGTTTTAGGTGTGGTAATTTCTGTTGGAAAATGGTTTGATCAGATATGTAATTGGAAAAACCCCATTACGACTGTCCTGATCCATATCTTGTTCTTGATACTGATACTATATCCGGAGCTTATTCTGCCTACCATTTTCCTCTATCTCTTCCTAATTGGTATTTGGTACTACAGATGGAGGCCAAGGCATCCTCCTCACATGGACACTCGCCTTTCTTGTGCTGATGCTGCTCATCCCGATGAGTTGGATGAGGAATTTGATACTTTCCCTACTTCACGTCCTCCTGATATTATTAGGATGAGGTATGACCGCATAAGAAGTATTGCAGGGAGGATTCAGACTGTCGTTGGCGACTTGGCTACTCAAGGGGAGAGGCTGCAGTCTTTGCTGAGTTGGAGGGACCCTAGAGCGACAGCGCTGTTTGTGATTTTCTGCTTGGTTGCTGCCATTGTGCTCTATGTTATGCCATTCCAAGCTGTGGCACTCTTGACCGGATTTTATGTATTAAGACATCCTAGGTTCCGCTACAAACTTCCATCTGTGCCACTTAATTTCTTCAGAAGGTTACCTGCTAGAACAGACTGCATGCTCTGAGCTGTGCCTTTGGCAGCTATCATCTCTATCCTACCTTATGTGGTTTTCCCTCTTGAATCGACGAAAATGATATAGAAATTTGTGAGGCTGTCCTTTTCCTTTTCCTCTTCACCTAGTGGTGAATATTATGTCCTTGTTTTTGGACGAAGATCTTCATGAGAAACTTGTGAGTTTGCTTTCCATTTGTTCTAAGTTTGTCAAAAGTTGGCTGTCTGATGCAAATTTATATCTGTAATCATGTAGCCTGTAAGTTCTTTTGTAGTATTAAACAAGCTCTCTAAGTACTCCTTAGTCAAATGGAATTTATTTGTTTTTTGTTCTTTCATTGACATGGTCATGTTTGTATATTGCTATCCAAATGGAATATGATCAGTTTTTAAAAAAATTGAATTTTTTTTCGAGTTCCTAAAAACTGAGTGATTTATTTTTTCTTTCGCTCACAAAACTTCAATTTTTTTTCCCAAATAAATTGCATGTCCAAATAAACTTCAATTTCTAAAAATTATTTTCAACACAACTTCAAAAATTCTTTTTTCAAGTTTCAGTTAAATCTATATCCAAACGCTAGCTTAATGGGTGAGGGACAATTATGATCAATAAGTATAATGATAAGGATAATTATACTAAAAAACTAAAATATAGGGTAAGTATAACTTATTTTCCGTAGTAGATGGGCAAATATTGCATTTTTCCCTATTGAGAATTGTTTAATTGTACTTGTATAATGCAACTTGAAAATATATTTGTTGGTGGCTTTTGTCAACTTATGAAGACAAAATCTGTTCTTTTTACAAAGGAAACTCAGTCTCAGTGCACTTTGTTCTTTAAAGCTGTATAAGTAACAGTAACAATGGGCTTTCCTTGTTTTGGAGACGAAGGGCCTAAATGGACACTAATATCTGGGCCTGTTAACCCTTATTACTGGCTGATTTAAGGAAATGTCACTTTTTTAGGTCGTTGTTTAGATATTTTTTTTATTATTTTTAAAAGTTCTACAAATATTTGCTCATATTGATTATTAATTTTGTTCCTAAAATATTAGACTGTCGTCTAACATTTGCAATAACTTTCTAAATTTTAGATCGCGGACAACTCAAGGGAAGGCTCGGAACTGTCGACTGCACCGCTGGTCGACTAGTTTTACCGCAAATATGCCTTTTTGAATTTAGGGGTAATGATATAGAAAGAGCGCAACCACTCATTATAAGCGTTGCTATAGTATTTGTTTTGGCACGAGTGGAGTATGATGTTGAGCATGATTATGCAATAATTAAAAAGAAACCATGTTGACATGTATTTGCACATTAAGGAAGCGATAAATACAGCAGCTTCATAGTTTAAAGCAATAAAGGAAAGAAAACAAGGAAGACATGTCAGTTTTGCTTCTAAAGAAGAAATTAAATGCTGAAAGGAATTAAACAGATAATTGCACATAGAGAGAGGTACAAATTCACAAGAATAATCTGCAATGGTAAAAGCCTAAAAAAAATCCCCAGCAAAGTCGCCATGCTGTCGTGCCCCCTTTTTCCCTCTTTGCATCGGAAAATCGGGTTTATGACATTTTGGGCATAGGACAACTCATTTCTTTTGGGAAAGAGGTTTTGCAATTTTGAAGAGTCGCCACCTAACGATTTTAAGGTGCGTTAGGGCACCTATAGGGTTCAACTACAACTACGTTTTTTGATAACTAGAGATAGGGTAAGGGCTTGAAATTATCCCAAGGGGAAGGTGTTAGACACCCCTCAGGATCCACTAGTGTGGTTCCCGGCCAGATAGTTCTTTGTGAATTTGTGCAATTAGCAAGTAAACAGATAAGGCTCAAATAAGAGGGGATTTTGAATACATAAATAAAACGAAGTTTTGAAAGAGTTATAACTAAACATGCTGACGAATACAAGAAGGGTCCTAGGTTTATTTGTAATATGGATCACATCAATGCAATACCCGATAATCACTCCTCTAAAGAGGGGCTACACGTGGTATTAGCGCATCGGTCATCATATCTATATCTACCCTTCCCACCCCGTTAAGGTATTAAAGCACGGATTGGTCTCGACCTCTATTGCATGCTATTACCCGTCCCATTCCTATCAGTCCCGGAGGAATTTAGGACTACTATTCCTATAAGAGGGAGGACTTCAGGCTGACTCTTAGGTTTAAAGGTAAAAGGCTAAGGCGACATACAAAAACACGTAGGACTGCATTTAAAGGGGAAACATTTGAACAACAAAGAGGCTCAGATATACCTCCTCAAATAGAACACATAAATAGCATGACTTAAAACACATTTAAGGTCAGAATTTAAAATACTGAGACAGGGGAGTTTTAGTTGTTGAAGCAAACCAATTTATTACATAACTCAGATAAGAAGTCTGAATCAGGCCTGCCTGCTGATTGTAGCAATTACTGATTAACAAATGCGGGTTTAGTCTTTATTGTTATTACCTAAGGCTTGCGTAAGTGTTTGGGTGAGATCCTATAAACATGATATCTATTACCGATTTGAAAATGGCAAAGCAAACAATTTGAGATCCTATAGACATGCTTTCTAAACCGTATTAAGAAGAGAGTTGTTTTAAAAAAAAAAAAATTAGTTCAGAACAGTATGAGTCAAACTGATTTTAAACTAGACTGGTTTCAGATCCTATAGGCATGATCTCTACTATTGCTGATTTTTAATTCCTATAGACATGATATCTAGTCGAACGTGAAATGAAGCAGGCAGGATTTACTTGAGATTCCTGTAGGCATGATTTCTATAAAAAAATGATTTTTAACCTTATGAGCATGATGTCTGATTGTAACCCTTTAGATCCTAGGAGCATGGTGTCTAAGTGTGGTAATAAACATGCAGAATTTAGGACAAATCCTATAGGCATGTTATCTAAATGCAGAATTAAACATGTGGGCTAAAAATCCTATAGTAATATTATCTAAATGTTGAATTAATCATACAGAAAACAGATCCTGTAGGCATGTTCTCTACCCTTCTAATAGTTAAACATGCATAATTACCCAGCCCTTTTCACTAACCAACCCCAATGTTTATTACAAATTGTTACAGACCAAGTACTGAATTACATCAGAAAAGTGTGAAAATAAGAAGTTACAACCATAGGAAGCTTGATTCTGACTTCCTCTCTGAGTTTTGGAACAAATCACCTCAAATGCCACTTGTTTCAAAGCCTTTCTCAGACCTGGGTGTGTCAAAGTTCCCTAAGGGTCTCAAGGGACCCCGGGCAGTGCTTACACCCAAGTTTGCATAACCAGATAGAGATGAGTGCAGTGTGGAAGGGCTAGCCCTTATGAGTCCAAGTTCAGAGGGAGCTCATGGGTCCCAAGACAAGGCTCACACATAAGGGGAAGAAGCTAAGTATAAGAGTATAGTGGAAGTGCAAAAACAGTGATTTATTTAAAACTGGGTTGAGAATAGTAAAGGGGAAAAGTAATTGGAAAACAGTAGTAGTAAAACTAACACTACACAGAATCAATATTTTTTTGCACAAGGGGTCAGGGGTTTGGGAATACATTGCAGGGAGCACATGAACCTAGGAAGGGGTCAGGCTTTGGTATGCACAACACTAGATGGTGCTAGCATGCCCATATACTAGCCAGAGAACACAACACATAGAGGGGACGTGAAGCATATGACCCTAAGGAGGGGTCAAGTTTGGGGTCATGCACAGCAATGTCTAATGCTGACATGCCCCCAAACCAACAAAGGAATACAAACACATAGGGGATATGGGGGTTTGGGATTCATAAGTCATAATAAGTGACTGACAGAGTTCATACATAAGAAAACATTAATTCAGAAGAGAAAGGGGCAAATTACAGTATGCTCAGTAATGGAACTTGATTAAACACAAGCAGGAAACAGGCAAGAGTAAAGGAAATAGTAAAGAAATATGTTGTTGTCGATGCTGGAAAATTAATTAGAACATACCAGTAAAGGATCAAATGCAAAAAGAATAGTAAGCAAATTTCCCACAGCCTAGCCTTGGCTTTCAGCCGGCTAGGTCAGGCAGCAACACAAGTAGTAATGGAGAAACAATGAGAGAGTTTTTAGTGAGGTGTGTGTTCTGAACTCAAGTGTTTCGTTCCTTGTTGTTCGTGTCTTTGAAAGAAGAGGGGTTCAGGGTATATATAGATTCTTTAAAACGAGTGAAGTAGAGGTAACAAGTAAAGTTTTGGTACAAATATGGAAACAATCAACAGTCAGAATCAATTATACAAGTGATTCCCTTTAATTAAGGAATCACTTGTCTAACAGGTAGTAACAGATTCAAATAAGGAAAGAGATCAGTTTAGAGACAGACTGATTATTGCCATAAAAGAAGTAGTACAAGCATTAAGTAAGTAATCAAGTCTAAGTACAGAAATATACTTATTTTGGAAAAGATTCAGTAAGGCAAAGTATCATAGTAAAGGGGAAAGAATCAATCAATTTGAACGGGCGAGTGAAATCATGGTTCATAAAAGGGAAACTTTAGAAATCAGTCACAAGATGAAGATCAATCAAGGAAGAACCTTCAGCATATAAATAAAGTGAACAAGGTCATCAGACATGCGAGGCCAAACTTATTGACAAAATCACAACAGGCAATAGTGGCAGAAATAAACTATGGTTCAGTAGTAAAGCAAACGTTCTAAGCAGAGTAATCAAGTAGGTCAAGCCAAATTGAATTAACAGGGAAGAAAACAGAGCATCGGAAACATGCAAAGGTTTCACAGTAGTAGGTGAGGAAACCCTTTTAAAAAGTTAGGGTTTTAAACTTAGTCGAGTTGAAAGATAGTAAAAATCAGATAAGTCACATAGAGAAAAGAGAGTCTAAAACAAAAGCTTTCAGTCGAGTCAAGTACTTAAACAATTTCAGACCCCAAAGACCTATGACTTTTCAACAACAATCGAGTTTAAAAAATGGTAACACAAATAAGTCAAACAAGAACGAGGAACTTAGTTAAACAAGTACACATTAAACAAACAACTTCAGGATTCAAATGAGACCCAAAAGAAATTAGGGTTTTAACATGCTAACTCAGATAGAAGAATAACATGATCAAAACCATAGCAAAATCAGAAAAACGTTAAAATCAGAGATCTTTGAAAAGAAAATTTAGAGGAAAAACCCTAATCGGAGAAGATGAAGGGTCGTTTTTGAAGAAAGTTGAAAAACTTTTGAGAAAACACTTAAAACACTAAGAGCAAGTACAGATCTAAAGTAGATCTGAAAGCAATCGAAAGATCTTAGAGATTAGGATTTCAGAAAACCCAAAAGAAACGAGAAAGATCACGAAATATAACGATCTAACCAGAAAAGGTCA